TCTCAGTTAAGTGTTATATGTTATACACTTTTAGGCAAATCATGTCTTTCGATTCATAACTGAGTAGCCAGATTTTCCCACAATTGTTTGCCTTTTCTTTCTGCAGGACAGACTGGGTACTGTAGTCTTGGTAGACTAGTTGCCAACCAAAGCCACAGTACCCAGTTTGTCCTGCTATTTGATTCCTAGCTGGGGAAGAAGAGATGGAGCCATACTTTTTTTCAAAGGATATTTACACGTAATAAATGTAACGAACCTGACTGGATTTCAAACTCTGCTCGCCAAATTCTCATTCCAATCCTATATCTGTTACGCCACACATACACCCATTAGACTAAATTTAATAAAATTTGAAATTAAAATGAAACAAATATAATAAAAGAAAGTAACTAAAAAAAAAATAAATTAACTATATTGCAGTTATTTTTCCATTTCAAGGCATAGTTTCTAAATTGCTATATGAAGTTTCGAATAACATTTCAAGTGACTTCATTCCTCCGGAGACTTACTTTTTAGAAAAGTAAATATTCTGGACATCTAAACGATACTTCATAAGAGATGTTATGAATTAAAAGAATTAACTGGGGGATTATTAAATATTTCGATATATTTTTTCTTTAGGAAATAACGTTTTCATAAATTACTTCACGAATAAGTCTCAAGAAATTTATTAAAATTCAAAAAGGTCAGCTAGCAGATCCACACACATACATGCAAAAGTGTTTCCACCGATTAAGGTAAACAACAGTTGATAGTACTATCAAAAATGGAAGCACAGAATGTGCTGATGGAATATCGTTCACCTTTGAACCTTATTTTTCGATTATCCCATTATACTATCATCCACTCATTACCCCATGGATAGCAACTCGAAATGTGAAATCCGAAATCGAATTTCAGTCAAGTCCATTTGATTCCCTTGTGAACGGTAAGTTATCCATCTTTTCTCTTCCTAGTTATGGGGTAAATAGTAGGGAAGACTGAGCTATTTAGCTGTGGTTGGTAACCCGTCTTGGAGAAGGACAGCTCTGACATTTGTTCCTTCAGTTCCTACAATATTGGTTCAATTATATTTAGTTTAGGACTTTGCGCTGGTCCGTCTTACAAAAGATGAACACCTTCATCCGCAAAAAAAAAATTTCTTGGACATTATGTATGCCAAGAAGCGCTGTGACACTAAAAGAGTTGTCCACATTTCTAGTCTGTCAGAAGAATAGACCGTAGTGAACTAATATAGTTTTTGCAGTTTACATTACCATTTTAGATTTACTAATTATCAACCTTACACCATTATCCGTCCAGCACCAAATTCTACCGTCTTTGTGTTGGTATTTTGCATTGTTTCTTCCTCTCACTGGTCTTCTTACATATTCTCTTGCATTAGAATGGAACCGTATTTTGCATTCATCACTAAGAAATACTTTTTGCCACTTTACAGTATTCTATGTTAGATGTTCTTTGGACCACTTCAATCTTCGGTATTTCTTGACTAATTATTAGTTTTTGCTACTAATCAAGATGTGCCTTCGTAATTCTCTGCGTACTGTATCAAGTGAAACCTCATTTTTAAATTGCATTGGTTCCTTACTTTTCTAGCAGTTAAATTTAAGTTGCGTACCAAGTCTCTCACAAACTTTCTTACATTTCTCTTGTCTAACTTTTGTGATATTCCGGTTTTCTTTACACTTCTACTTCCAACAAATATCATTTGGATGGTTTGAATACTGTTTCTGAAAATCCCCCCCGGCTGTCTATCGCTGAGTCATCTTCACCTTCAAAGTCACATCCTTCATCTTTGTTTCAGAGAAAGTTTTAGCTATGTTTTTAGTATAACTATAATCAAGCTAATCTTACAATGAGTTGCCAAAGCAACTTACGCTCATGCTAATAAAATGGAACAATATCTACTTAAGATTTTGCATATTATCATGACTTTATCATCTGAGATTTTTCATTTTCACAATAATTTTACATGTTTTTTTTTTCAGCTTCAAACTGCTTAAAGCGGTATATCTTCCGTTAGACGGCACTTAAGAAAACGTAACAACTGATTTTTCAAACCTCTAGGTCCACACAGACTACTGATAAAAACTTACTACTAAACAATCTTGAAGTATTAATAAAATAAACGTACATAATCATTTCCTCTAGCTTACCCCAAACCTTTGCACGTCAGTGTATATTTACGGGTGGAGAATTTAATATAACAGTCATCGCTTAGTATTATATATTATAGATTATCGTGACAAAACGCAGTAGATCCTGGGACGCTGCATTTTAAATTTTAAATTCCTAACGTCCGATGTGGATCGATACACAACCGTTATTCAGCTTTCTGATGTTTTTGTTTTTTATTACTTCTTCTCTATGTGCCATGTCTCCTCAGGGCATAGGAGATCATGACTCTCCACAACTTATTGTCGCTTGCAGCTCTTAATAAATTTTGTTTTTCTGTTATTTCTCCTAAATCCTGTTCCGCCATCCATTTAGTCAAGTTCACTAAGTATGTTATGCGTTATTTTCCTGTCTCTCTTGCCTTCAATCTGTCACGTGAGTATCAGATTTTCCAAGTCCTCTTTCCTCAATATTTGCCCAAAAACCTGAACTGTCTCTTCCTGATGTTAAGTATGTCTCCTTTTCTTTCTATTTTTTTTTCTTCGTCGTTGCTCATATGTTTGGTGCATGGTATCCTCAGCATCCTTTTGTAGAACCATATTTCTGTCTCTTCTTCATCTTTGAGGATATTGTCCAGCACTCACCGCCATACAGATAACAGTTTAGTATTCATTTTCTTCTTTCTAACAATTTTTTTAATATATTTCTTAGTACTCTGCTTAGCTTTTGGAATGCATTTTTGGCTATCGCAATACACCTTCGGATTTCAGTGTCACATTTTCCCTCCTCTTTTAGCACACTTACCAGATACTTAAATTTTTCTACTTGTTTGATTTTTGTATCTCCGATTTATTATTTGCATTTTAGGCTCATCCATTTGCTAACAATCTGTCTTCTTGCAGTTTATATTTAGTCCTTTCTTCTCAGTTTCCGTCACTACGTCCCGTAGGAGTGTGGGGTCAGTCTACCCAGACTTTAGGAGGGGAAATAAAATTTGAGTGTCGTGCCTACAAATACAACACAAAATTATAAACAACACGGAGAAATGATCTTCGCAGAAAAAGAAGACAAAGCTAAAATATGACAATAACATTTATACTGTCAGATACATGTATTTTTCATATTAACATTCAATGTTGTTTGTTGTGGCGATGAAGAGACCAATAATTCGATTGTTCGATATGATTTGTCCCCAGCTGAGTCTGCAAAATTTCGAAGTGTTTTTGTCGCAAGTAGGGAAATCAAGCGGTATGGTACGCCAATATATGTGTGAAGCACTGGCTCATAAATCATGTGTGACTGCTGATTGATTGCGTGCGAAAGCAGTAATTTAAATACGGTGAACAACAAAAAAGATGAGATAGGACTTACTTTCGTCACAGCTTTGTATATTTTCATTGTAGAAAAATCATCGCTGACTGACGCGTTTTCGTGGTAACGTGTGTCTATGCTGTTGATCGAAGCAGATCTAGTCACTGACTGTTCCGTTGCAAATCTAGTCGCCTACCTTTCGTTTGTCTGACTAGTCTTGACTGTCGCTGGCGAGCCGTTTTTTTTTTTTATCGACATGGATCGGCTCTGAATCGCTATCTGAGTTTAGAGCGGGAATGTATTCAGTAACCGAGCTCTGATCTTTTTCCATGTCATTTGGAGTTCTACTGCGCGGATGTAGTAGAAAGCACATTACGTGACTTGTCCTAACCAATCATGTTCCAGCAACCACTTATTTAATTTGGAGATCTGTCTATACAGAATTGTAAAAACGTTTCGTATGTACTGAATTTAGTAAGATTTATTTTTAGGCGTCTCTTACTTGTTCGTGCTTCAATTATTGGCTTTTGTAGTTTTCTTTCCACAGTGTAATAACAGTAGGTTTGTTAAGAAAAATGATGTGCTTATTTATTAAAATTCTTCAATAGCAGGTACTGATAATAATCTAAAACTAAGTGACTATCGAAAATCCAGTAATAAAAATAATCTTATAAACTTCTGTTCACACATTAGCAAAAAAATAAAATAAAATCCGGAATAAACACCATCATCTATTTAAGACACCCATTGAATTTATAGCCGTCAATATTTATATGAAGAGAAACTTCTCTAATATCCTAATATATTTCATATATAAGGCACGTCGCAAAATTAGAAAATTTAATATAATCTTGATAAAACTAGACATAATAATACTTACCAACTCAATAATGACTACAAATTTATATAAAATTAGTTACAACTATAAAAGATTTAGTTAATCTAAAGCAGAATAACAATCTAAAGAAGACAGCATTTACACTACAGACCGTAAAAGATGTTACAAAATGCATTGGTTAAAAAAAATAGGAATTTAAAAGAATATATGCATACAAAAGGAAACTTTTACGAAATAACACATCCATTCATAATCATATCTAACTAATAATCATATCTAATTAATAATCATAATCATAATCATATCTAATTAATAATCATAATCATAATCATATCTAACTAATAATCATAATCATATCTAACTAATAATTTCGACTTAATGAATGTATTTTTAATTAAAAGAGGCAGTAATTCCTCAGTGTTTATGGTATCTTGGCAAAAATACTGCTATTAAAATTCGTAATATTTAAAACAACAATAATAAAAACAAAAATAAATGTTATTAATGTTGGTTAGGTTGTGTATCGAGATAATTTCTTATACATTTATTTTTTCTAATTTTTGGAGATAATAATGATTTAGCGATACAAGTCTTACAAATTAAAGAGAAAGGGCGTGGATCCCTATCATTCACAATGGTATTTGCGCGTAAATGGCTATAACGAAACCTACAGAAATTGGAACTCGGCTTGCAACATTTCCGAGTCATTTCCCATTACAACATCCGCGCATCCAAGCTTACAGCACTTGACATTTCAAAGTTGTCACCCATCTAGGTACTAACCAGGCTCGACATTGCTTAACTTTGGTGATCGTACGGGAACCGGTGATTCAACGTGATGTGGCCGCAAGCCTATTGCCGCTTAAGGAGTCTTACTAAATCGGTCCAAAAGGTTGATGGTTTGATTCCCCAGTTTTAAAACCAAACTCAATTAGCTACAGAATTACGGCTTAATTTCTTATCTCGTAGAATAGGAACAGTGGCTGTTATGTCTGAAAACAAAATCAGTGAATTAAATTCAAGATCTGCTTTACGCAGGATATATGCCTGTAAAGGCATGAATCCAATCCTCCTTCTGCTCTGTCACGTTGGCAGTCACCTTTATTCTAGTCTTCTTACTGCGCAGATTGGATATAAAATTTCCTCATATTATCTGGCCACACAGTAGATGCAAAATAATTGCTATATTTAATGATAGATTTGATAGATTGAGGCTAGTATTGTTCTGCTGAATTTAGTAGGGTAATTACTTTCTTCATAATATATAGAATAATTATGTTCTATCGAAAAAAAAAGTTTCCATCACAAGTTTAAAAACTTGTTACATAAGCGCTTGACGGTGGGATAATTATAATTGCACAAGTCTATCAAACAATTACTTTAGTGAAGTGAATACATTATTATACGTCTCATTATTTTACTTTTTGCCATACTAAGCTCAACTTAAATGATAACTTAGCTTGTAAGTAATAGTTATTGTGTTGGTCTTGCAGCCTGTTTTTAAAATTCATTGATTGTGATTCTGACTGGATGTCTCTTCAAATTTGATTTCGTCCTAAAACAACCTGAGTAAAGAAATTTAGTTACATTGTAACTGTGATATAACGTAAAGGTACACGGAATACATCAGAAATTCCACTCACTATTACTGGGAAGTTTGATAAACACCAATTGAAGTCATAACAAATGCATCGGAGAAAGGTCGGATGTGAAAAGTTCGTGCGTCAGATTTCAAACTTGATCTTCTGAAGGTATTTCTCTTTCAAAATATGTTCTTTTATCCAAAATGAAAAAGGTCAAAGTAGTAAATTTAATTTAAAAAGTTGTTTTATTTTTTATAGTTTTTTTTTTTGTTTGTGGCTTACAGTTTAAGCAGTCTTTCTGTGTACTGCTTCGCAAATATGAGAATAGTTGGTAACTTACAAACATACATACATATTTACACACACACACACACACACACACACACATATATATATATATATATATATATATATATATATATATAATGCTCTCAATTATGCATAATATATATGAAGATATGCTGAAAATTATCGGCCCGCCCCACTTCCCAAAATCGAACAAAATATTTTTGTGAGAACGTCCCAGTATTCACACGCACTCTCCACACACACACACACACACACACACATATATATATATATATATATATGTCTGTGTTATTGTCCAAATAGTTATGCACAATATAGAAAACATACAATAAAATTAATATTATCTAAATATTATGAAATATATATATATATATATATATATATATATATATATATATATATGTGTGTGTGTGTGTGTGTGTGCACGCGTTTTGTGTGTGCGTTGCTATGGGAATTAATAGTCTAAATTGGTAAAAGTTTCATTAGACGGTCTCCTTAAGTAGGTGAAGTGGATAATGATAAAATTTTATTTATTTGTTTATATAAATTACAAGATTTTGTTTTTACTGCATGTGTAAGGCGCTAGTTTTCATTTCACAGACATTAACTATTAAATCATTATAAACTGAGCTTTATTCATGTGATGTGGATTCGTGTTTGTCTTCCAGGTTTCGCTTCTTGCTATGAATTGACTGTAGTTAAATAACTGCCAAATATTTTTAATACATTCAGTCAGTTGAACGTATTTTGTTCTATATGAAACGGTATTTGTTTTATGTTTATTTTTCATAAAAACAATAAAAATATAAAAGGAATTAAGAATGTTTTCTCGATTTCCTCTTTGACAGTTTTCTTTCTTTCTACGAATAAAGTACCAATAAAATTTTGCTATTTTAGGAATATCGAATTTTTATTTGGGTTCGGCTCTAATAAAGAGAAGAATGTTCACCTAGTTTTTTAATTCTTGAAATTTTCAGAGGTAATAGAAATCATATTAACCGTTTCCCTATAAGAAAACATTTGGCATTCATTGACCGAACAGGTATTACTGCTTTCGGTCGAAATTTATAAAATCATTCTCTTAAAACAGCTTTTCAGTAAAACAGTTTTCTCATGTCTGGTAGCAGTTATCGCTCTTTCTAGTATTGATAGCGGTTTTCTTCTTAAACTTTTATTTGATGTAGAATGTATTTTTAAAATCTTAATTATGTCATTTATTCTTCAGATTACTTGGGCTATCCCTTTTAGTTGTTGCTGCTGTTGGTAGTTCGCAAGTGATTTGGTTTCTGTTATTTGGTACAGTTCTTTTTGGTGATTCTGTAGCGCCAGTCCGTAATGTTCAAAGAAGGACGATCTTTGCCAAGACGATTAGGCTTCACTCACTGAAAGCCTTTTTTCACAAGTGTATCCAGCTGACAGTTTAGATATTTCTGAGCCGGTTTGGTGTCATGCATAATATCCATATGAAAGTCTCGATCAGACGAGGCTATTTAAGAACATGACTCGTGTTTTCATGTTAAATATTTTGGTTTCGTAGCAATTTCAGGTGTTGAGCAAAACTACCTTTGTCACAGCCTATTCTACGTTCTATTTCCTTTTCTCCTATAATTAATTTGTCATAACTGATCCATACGCAGAATTATCAGAGGTGTTCAGCATTTACTAATTCCTCAACAAGAATTTTATAAAGGATTCAGGGTAGGTACCATCATTGCTTTCATTCCAATTTCAGATCACAGCTTCTATTTTGGAAAGGTTTATATTGAGTTCTAGTTCTTGGAAGACTTGGTAGAGGATGTTGATTTTCTGTTCAAGATCATTTTCATCTTAGCTATGACTACCTATGTCATCAGCATAACCTATCTCATAATCAGTACATTGGCCTCGGGAGGGAAAGCAAGATCGTCTGCTGGTAGAATCGCTTGGGATGTGTTATGGAATTCTTGAATGGTCAGCGTCCTTCTCATGACATTTATGACGTTTATTTTATGTAAAGTTTAATGGAAAAATATTATTAATCAATTTTATTTAGAAACGTCCACTGTTTTATTAACACCATCACTTACTGTACACACACACACACACAAGCACAAACACACACACATACATATGTGTGTGTGTATCTGGGTCTGTTTGCGAGACTTTGTCGTCTAAATTACACAAAAATGAAAATAATACTGACATTTCATTTTAACAGATATATTTACCAAAATTATACAAAAATATCTTGAAATTGTAAAGAGTAAATTTATTGAATAAAATCTCCATTGGTTTGAACCATGGTCTCCAGACGACTTCGGGATCTCCTGCAACATTTCTGGATGATCTTCTTGTTTAAGTTGGTGAATTCTGCCATAATTCTTGCCTTCAATTCATCTCAATTGTACCCCATTCATAATAATCAAAGGGTCTGCAGTATGGACTGTTAGGTGGCCAGTTATAAGGGAGGATGTGGTCAAAGAAATTGTCTGACAGTCATGACTGAGTTTTTGTGTGGTATGGTGCAGAGTCCTGTTGCCAAACATAGGTTCTTCCAGCAGCTGTCCTCTTGACCCAGGGCAGCACTACCTCCTCAAGGTACTTGTTTTAGGCCTCCGTGTTGAGTCTGAGGCACTGCTGGAAGATGAATGGAGGCATAACGTCGCCATCATTAGTGATCACTCGAAGCACCATGATGTTGACTGGATATATTAACTAACTGCTTTCGAATCCTCTGCAATGTCCTCTGATTGACACCCATATACTGTGAAATGTTCTTATTGGATCTTTCCGGTGCGAATGCCAAGCGATATAGCATGCCGTTTCAAAATTTCTGGCGGAGTGAATTGCGTCGTGGTACTCCTTTTCTCACAGACGGTGCCCAACTGACCCTACTATTTGTGCAGCCAACAAAATCAAAAACAAATAACGCGCATGCACCAAAATAAATATATAAAATGGCTACAATTTACTCATCGCACTCTGTATATCTTTGTAAAAATATACTTATATATTTATATATGCGGATATGTGAATTACATTTGTGTGTACGTGTGTATTATATGAGAAAATATATATTTGATGTGTATATGTGTGTTTAAATTGCATTTATATTATTTTATTTGGATATATGTAAGTGGGTATAGTGGTTTTGGTAAATAACTGTACTGCTCCAGTATAAATATCCATATTTAAATTTTACTAAGGTCCGTTTTCAATCAGCACCTGACGATTTCATCCTGCATAAAAATCAGAGTTGTGCCAACGTTAAGTAACAAAATGTATATTTATTACAGTAGGGAACCTGATTTTTTCCTTTCTGGACTTGACATATCTTTGCAAATATACTTGCAAAGTATCTTCATTAAATAAAATGCATTAAACTTGAGCAACTTTCACTATTTTTAATCTCTCCAGTTTTAAATATAAATGACCTTTATACAATTAGATGTTAATAAACAAGACATTTCTCTGGTCCTTAACATCATATATGTGGAATCTGCTGTATTTCTCTGCATATATGCTCACACTGTGCTTGATTTAGTGTGACTATCATTGAAAAGAAGGTGAGACATGTTTTGATGAACCCTTAGCTATTCCTTATGAAAATTGGTATTTTAACTATTAATGTTATAATGTTGTAATTGTGAAGTCACGTGTGTAAAGGTCACTTATTCTCAAGCATGGCCAATGAAGCTTAGAATGAACCTTAGAAAGAACTTGGTATGTATGCTCTTTATTGAACTTTGCCATCACGAACCTGCATTTGCTTACTTTATAACTGTTGACAATTCTGAGAATGCTTTTCCTAGGTGACAATTGGCTTGATTATATGTTTGATTTCAAAACTATGGTCTGTTGTGAGAGAATAAAATGCAAAAAAACAACCCCTGATGTTTTCTGTTATATTTGTGGATGTTGCATTTTAACAATGCAGGGAAAGAAAATCACAGATTTTTTAAAGAAAGCTCATCTTACAT